CTGAGATGTCTGTCTAGAATTATTATTTGAAAATAATATCAATTTTACGTTGTGGACAACGTTTTGCATATTGCTGATTTTTACTTAACTGTCAGATGGGTCAATGTGATTACAGCCGTAAACCGCTTGCATGAGGCGGTATGGTTGCACGTTTTGCCTTCATGGAAACGACTACTGCATGTCACAATGCTGTCCCTGTCAGGCACAGGGGAACCACCTGCGACCCGTTTTTCAGCACAGTACATCGAAGCATTGTAAGACCAATATTTTGCTCCAGGAAACTAGCAATCAGCAAGAAAATTTCGATCGCGCATCGCATTTGAACACGCATCCCAAAAGCGCGTTCTATGTTAAGTCACAACGCATTGTGTCCTTGTCCTCACTCGTCCATTTTCTTAATATTGTAGAATCGTTAGACACTGTAATTGACAATTACGATTTGATAGAACGAGCGTCATTAATTAACAATTCGATGTCTATATAGGACGAAATCGGTGACCGGTGGAATAATGACAGGAATTTTATAAGTTTTGACTCAGCGCTTCCTCAATTCTTCTTTGACGATTGAAATTGGGTGCGATTTTCTGATGCAGGCAAATTATGAAATATACAACTATTTTCCTCTTGACCGAATGTCTAACGTTCTGATTGGAAGGCAAAAGCGAGCGGGAACAAGATTCTCAAATGTGCAGACAGGAGCTGAGTAAAGCAAGAAGATTTTTCTTCATTTTCTCCATTGCATCCTAGCTTTAATCCTCACGTGATCTCCCAACTTGTTGTAAACTTATTGGCTGCCCTTGCTGTCAGGCTATGCGTTCAGTATTCACCTTGCAGGGCGACCAACGCCCATTCGCTAACAGTGGTCCCATGATAACAAACTTCTTGTAAGCAGACAGTCAATGACGCTAGTTGCATATTTTAATCTCTCTCTGACACCACTAGCATTGGACACCAAATACCTGATTTTATTCCTGAATGTGACCTCAAAATGTTCATCTCCAGCCATATGGCAGAATGCTCATAATGGGAGCGCGGTACTTCCGCAACTTTGTGCTATTTTAAACGTGATTGCTCAAAATATGGCATAATAATACAATTCTCATTTGAATTTAAGGCGCAAGATTCACTTGGTAGTGTAACATCGTCTCCCCAATCCCACACTTCAAAGAAAACCATTGATTCATACTATTTGAACACAGTTTGCCAAGAAAGGCATAGCTGCTCCAAAACTAAGTTTCACTACATATTGTACGTTCCTTTTTAATGCATGCTTAAGGGACCAATTTAATAGGCATTAGTGGGATTTGAACGCTTGCACGAATTTTTATTTTGATGCCTCAAAAATGCACGTATATAGTAACGACGCCTCAAGTATTTTTAGCTGTTGGCAACGGGCGAGCAAACCATATGTGATGCATTTATGCAATGCTAAAATATGTTGCAGCTTTACTCTGCCTCAGTCATTAATTTGGCACATTGGAACAGTGAGGGCAATTTTTATATTAAATTAAGTTTGGGGCAATTGCGGGCTTATTAACAATCAAACATGAAAGTTTAATACCACGCAAACACCATA